AAGAACCGCTGGAGCAGATGTGGAAGGTAAAGGCGAGCGTGATCCCTGTGGTAGTAGGAGCGCTCGGGGCAGTGACCCCCCAACTGGGGGAGTGGCTCCAACAGATCCCAGGAACAACATCAGAAGCCTCAGTCCAGAAGAGCGCAGTCCTAGGAACAGCTAGATACTGCGCAGAACCCTCAAACTCCCAGGCCTCTGGTAGAGGACCCGAGCTTGAGGATGACACAGATACCGCCCCAAGAGGGTGGGAGGGAAGTTGTTTTTATATTATATTTGATGTATATATATATATATATATATATGATATAGGAAATAGGATATAGGATATAGGAAATGTTTTAGTCAAGGTGGTAGGCCGACAGACCGGGGGGGTGGCGGTGCGGATGGTGAGGCAGGCCTGCTTCAAGCCCGCAATGATGAACGTCTTCACCCAAAAATGTTTTCTTTTTATCCGGATAAAGAATAAAAAAAAAACGGATTGTTTTCCGATTCATGGCACGTTTTTCATTATTTTTTTAATGCGTTCTGCGGAGAAGGGAGACTGGCATTGGTCACGGTTCGGAATGAAAGGGAGAAAACAGGAGAGAGTAACACGGCGGATATCGCTCATATCACTTTTATTTTTATTTTTTTTGACAACGTAGTTAAGTTAACTGCAAAGTGCAGCAGGAAACCCTGAAATAAAGTTTGAACATGAGTTTAACTCACAGCTCCAACACGATGTAGTAACTGTCCTCCGTCTCATAGAAGTCCTCCGTCCTTATGAGACACGGCTGCAGGAGAGGAGGAGGAGAGGAGGACAGAGGAGGAGGAGGGGGGAGGACAGAGGAGAGAGGAGGAGGAGAGGGAGAGGAGGAGGACGAGGAGGAGGAGGAGAGGAGGGGGAGGAGGAGAGGAGGAGAGGAGGAGGAGGGGGAGGACAGAGGAGAGGAGGGAGGACAGAGGGAGGGAGGAGGAGAGGAGGAGGAGGACGGAGGAGGAGGAGGAGGAGGAGGAGGGGAGGAGGAGGAGGAGAGGAGAGGAGGAGGAGGAGGAGGACGGAGGAGGAGGAGGGGGAGGACAGAGGAGGGGGGAGGACAGGAGGAGAGGAGAGGAGAGGAGGAGGACAGAGGAGAGGAGGGGGGGAGGACAGAGGAGGGGGGAGGACAGAGGAGAGGAGAGGGAGAGGAGGAGGACAGAGGAGAGGGAGAGGAGGAGGACAGAGGAGGAGGAGGAGGAGGACAGGAGAGGGAGAGGAGAGGAGGAGGACAGAGGAGAGGAGAGGAGAGGAGAGGAGGAGGACAGGGGGGAGGAGGAGGACAGAGGAGGAGAGGAGAGGAGGAGGAGGAGGAGGAGGAGGAGAGGAGAGGAGAGGAGGAGGAGGAGAAGGAGGAGAGGAGAGGAGTTAGCGTAGTTAGCAGTCGCTCTTAAATGCGCAGTCTGTGAAGTGTCTTTCTTCTTCTGTGGTGTCAGACTCACGTGGTCGACTCTCCGTAGAATCTCGATCTCCGTCTTTGCGTTTCGTGTCGCCATCTGTGATTGGACAAAGACAGACAGATCACATGATCACCCTTCCAGCCTGCCATTGGTCCAGAGGAACATGAGCGACTGATGTTCAGCCGCCATGTTTGTAGTTTTCTGTAGTTGTTTTTACCTGCTAACGTCTGCTACATCCGTCACAGGAAGGAAAGGAGGAAACGAGGGAAGGGAGGAGGGATGAAAGAAGGAGAGCTCTCAGCCAATCAGAGAGCAGATGACATCACTCACCCCTTCAGACTGAAAGTTCTTCTTGTTTATTATTTTCACCGCCAACTTCCTGCAGGTCGACCTCTCGAAGGCCAGCTTGACCTCCCCGCACACGCCTCTGAAACACACGCCGTGTTCTGCTGTTAGGACGTTTCAGAGCGCAGGAAGTGACATCACAGCGGTATGAACGGCGTCAGACTCACGTGCCGATCCGCCGAGTCAGCAGATATTTCTCCTGCAGCTCTTTAGGTAAACTGGACTGATCGTCTGACATCAGGTCAATGAAGACAAAGACTGCAGACAGACAGGCAGACAGACAGGTGAGGTGAGACTGGTGCCAACAGGGACCAACAGTCTGAGTATTGATCAGCCTGTCTCACCTTTGTTGCGTTGTTCAGACAGAGCGAGCACGGCGTTATTGATCAGAGGAAGCTTCCTGTCTTTACCGATCAGAATCCCGTCCACAAACGTCCCGTTGTTACTGTAGTCCTCCACGAAGACCTCGCTGCCCTCCTGACACACAGACAGGCACACACACAGACAGACAGGCTGCACTGGGTCTGCAGTCACTGATAATCACTTATCAATAATCAATAAACAGGAAGGGATCTCACTCTGTAGATCCTGAAGTGTTTCTTGCTGTAGATTCGGAACTTTTTAGATCCTCTGTGATCCGGATCATCCAGGACATAGTTACACTTCGAGTCCCGTCCGAACAGGTACTGGTCCTCGATGCAGTCTGTAAACAAACAAACAAACAATAACAATCAATCAATAACTACCCACTGGTTTTAGGCTGGTCCAGGTTCTATTAGAACGAGGCCTCAGTGTCTGGGAACCTGGACTCACCGTGGCTCCTGAAGCCTCGGGCCATGGGCAGCAGGCGGCCCCAGGGTTGTGGTCCGGGCTCCTCGGGGACCGACGGCAGGGTGACGGGGATGGTGTCCACACTGCTCAGCGTCCCTGAACCACTGGACGACTGACTGGCTGAGGTCGGCCCGCTGGAGGAACTGGAACCGGGCTGGGACTGGGACTGGGACTGGGACTGGGACTTAGACTGGGATGGGGACTGGGTGGACGGGGCCTGCGATGGGGACTGGGTGGACGGGGCCTGCGATGGGGACTGGGTGGACTGGGTGGACTGGGGAGGCTCCCCCTTATGTGGACTCTCCTCGGACATGGTCCGGCTCTGCAGACACATCAGAACAGACTCAACAGGAGACACTGACAGCACAACACAGAACCACCTTTAAAAACACTTTAATAACTCCGCCTATATCCTTAAAGGAACAACATAAAAAACTGATATTAATATTGTTAATATTAATGTTATTTACATTATTGTTGATATTATTCATATATTATTACTTCTTTCAGAGCTCTTACGGACTACTCTTGAATTCGGCCCAAACCCAACCTGACATACTCTAAAGGGGACTTCACTAATCCGGATCTGGCCTCAGTCCCACCCCACAGTGTTAGTGGTTGCAGGCAGGAGAGACGATGTTAAATTAGATGATTTTTAAATGGAGTTCGTTGTGATTTGAGATGTTTTCACTCCGGACTGAATATGAACAGAACCGAACGACCCGGTTTAACATCCGGCTCCATCCGCCCCCCCCGCCGAACCGCCTCACGTCACTGCCAGGAAGAAGCGGGCCGAGCCGGGCCGAACTGAGCCGAGCCTTGGCGGGCCGGGCTAATGTACAAACAGGGACTCACCGGAGCGGACTCTCCTGCGGGTCTCTGCAGGTTAACAGTCCGGATCAGCTCCGGACCGAAACGGGACACGTGTGTGAAGTGTTTTTTTACCGGGACCGCGCAGGAGACGTATTTCCTTGTACCGCATTTTCCTCCTGCGTCATGTGACGGTCCCAGCCAATGACAAGTTGGAAGCTCGGTCACGTGAGTTCGAAAGTGTCTGGTGTGCTTCCGGGTCCGATGTTGTCCTGCAGGAGGACGCGGTGATCAATGCTGATCGATAATGATCGATAACTGACGACTGAGATCTGTTTCTGACAGAACCACCTGTCTGTCTGCACACCGGTCTACCTGTCTGTCGTCATGTCCAAACAGAGGACTTCCGGTAAAAGTCTGATCATCGCAGACGGTAACCTTTCAGAATAAAATCATTTCTTATTATTATTATTATTATTATTATTATTATTATTATTATTATTATTGTTTTTTATTATTCTAACTGTTTGTCTCAGGACGGTTTATTCTTTTTAACACATTTATAAATTAAGATTTTGTATTTTTGGTCACAGGACTGAATTGTAAGCACATTAGCATCAATGCTAATAGCACTATCTTTAATAAAAATATAAAAACATTGTTTATTTGTTTGTTCCTGCAGGTTGGAGCACATCGACTTTATGACAAAGAAAACAATCAATATACAATACACATGCAATAAAGGGTTAGGGTATAATATCCCTGCTGGTCCCTGCTGGTCCGCTGGTCCTGGTCCCCGTTGGTCCCCTGTTGTCCCTTTGTTCCCCGTTGTTCCGTTGTTCCCTTGGTCCTGCTGGTCCCTGCTGGTCCCCGTTGGTCCCCGTTGGCCTTTTCCCTGTTGGTCCCTGTTGTTCCCCGTTGGTCCCCGTTGTTCCCTGCTGGTCCCTGTTGGTCCCTGCTGTTCCCTGTTGGTCCCTGTTGGTCCCTGCTGGTCCCTGCTGGTCCTTGCTGTTCCCCGTTGGTCCCCGTTGTTCCCTGCTGGTCCCTGCTGGTCCCTGTTGTTCCCCGTTGTTCCCTGTTGTTCCCTGCTGGTCCCTGCTGGTCCCTGCTGGTCCCTGCTGGTCCCCGTTGTTCCCCGCTGGTCCCCGTTGGTCCCTGTTGGTCCCTGTTGGTCCCTGCTGTTCCCTGTTGGTCCCTGTTGGTCCCTGTTGTCCCTGCTGGTCCCTGCTGGTCCTGCTGTTCCCTGCTGGTCCCCGTTGGTCCCTGCTGGTCCCTGCTGGCCCCTGCTGTTCCCCGTTGGTCCCTGTTGTTCCCTGCTGGCCCCTGCTGGTCCCTGCTGGTCCCTGTTGTTCCCCGTTGTTCCCTGCTGGTCCCTGCTGGTCCCTGCTGGTCCCCGTTGGTCCCCGTTGTTCCCTGCTGGCCCCTGCTGGTCCCTGCTGGTCCCTGGTCCCTGTTGTTCCCTGTTGGTCCCCGTTGTTCCCTGCTGGTCCCTGCTGGTCCCTGCTGGTCCCTGTTGTTCCCTGTTGGTCCCTGTTGTTCCCTGCTGGTCCCTGCTGGTCCCTGCTGGTCCCTGTTGGTCCCCGTTGTTCCCTGCTGGCCCCTGCTGGTCCCTGTTGGTCCCTGTTGTTCCCTGCTGGTCCCTGCTGGTCCCTGCTGGTCCCTGGTCCCTGTTGTTCCCTGTTGGTCCCTGCTGGTCCCTGTTGGTCCCCGTTGTTCCCTGTTGTTCCCTGCTGGTCCCTGCTGGTCCCTGTTGTTCCCCGTTGGTCCCCGTTGTTCCCTGCTGGCCCCTGTTGGTCCCTGCTGGTCCCTGTTGGTCCCTGTTGTTCCCTGCTGGTCCCTGCTGGTCCCTGTTGGTCCCTGTTGTTCCCTGCTGGTCCCTGCTGTTCCCCGTTGGTCCCCGTTGTTCCCTGTTGTTCCCTGCTGGTCCCTGTTGGTCCCTGTTGTTCCCTGCTGGTCCCTGCTGTTCCCCGTTGGTCCCCGTTGTTCCCTGTTGTTCCCTGTTGTTCCCTGCTGGTCCCTGCTGGTCCCTGTTGGTCCCTGTTGGTCCCTGTTGTTCCCTGCTGGTCCCTGTTGGCCCCTGCTGGTCCCCGTTGGTCCCCGTTGTTCCCTGCTGGTCCCTGCTGGTCCCTGCTGGTCCCTGCTGGTCCCCGTTGTTCCCTGCTGGTCCCTGCTGTTCCCCGTTGGTCCCCGTTGGTCCCCTGTTGTTCCCTGCTGGTCCCTGCTGGTCCCTGCTGGTCCCTGGTCCCTGTTGTTCCCTGTTGGTCCCCGTTGTTCCCTGCTGGTCCCTGCTGGTCCCTGCTGGTCCCTGTTGTTCCCCTGTTGGTCCCTGTTGTTCCCTGCTGGTCCCTGCTGGTCCCTGCTGGTCCCCGTTGGTCCCCGTTGTTCCCTGCTGGCCCCTGCTGGTCCCCGTTGGTCCCTGTTGTTCCCTGCTGGTCCCTGCTGGTCCCTGCTGGTCCCTGGTCCCTGTTGTTCCCTGTTGGTCCCTGCTGGTCCCTGTTGTTCCCCGTTGTTCCCTGTTGTTCCCTGCTGGTCCCTGCTGGTCCCTGCTGGTCCCTGTTGTTCCCCGTTGGTCCCCGTTGTTCCCTGCTGGCCCCTGTTGGTCCCTGCTGGTCCCTGTTGGTCCCCATTGTTCCCTGCTGGTCCCTGCTGGTCCCTGTTGGTCCCTGTTGTTCCCTGCTGGCCCCTGCTGTTCCCCGTTGGTCCCCGTTGTTCCCTGTTGGTCCCTGCTGGTCCCTGTTGGTCCCTGTTGTTCCCTGCTGGTCCCTGCTGTTCCCCGTTGGTCCCCTGCTGTTCCCTGTTGTTCCCTGTTGTTCCCTGCTGGTCCCTGCTGGTCCCTGCTGTTCCCCGTTGGTCCCCGTTGTTCCCTGTTGTTCCCTGTTGTTCCCTGCTGGTCCCTGCTGGTCCCTGTTGGTCCCTGTTGGTCCCTGTTGTTCCCTGCTGCTGGCCCCTGCTGGTCCCCGTTGGTCCCTGTTGTTCCCTGCTGGTCCCTGCTGGTCCCTGCTGGTCCCTGTTGGTCCCCGTTGTTCCCTGCTGGTCCCTGCTGGTCCCTGTTGGTCCCCGTTGGTCCCCGTTGTTCCCTGCTGGTCCCTGCTGGTCCCTGCTGGTCCCTGGTCCCTGTTGTTCCCTGTTGGTCCCCGTTGTTCCCTGCTGGTCCCTGCTGGTCCCTGCTGGTCCCTGTTGTTCCCCGTTGTTCCCTGTTGTTCCCTGCTGGTCCCTGCTGGTCCCTGCTGGTCCCCGTTGGTCCCCGTTGTTCCCTGCTGGTCCCTGCTGGTCCCCGTTGGTCCCTGTTGTTCCCTGCTGGTCCCTGCTGGTCCCTGTTGGTCCCTGGTCCCTGTTGTTCCCTGTTGGTCCCTGCTGGTCCCTGTTGTTCCCCGTTGTTCCCTGTTGTTCCCTGCTGGTCCCTGCTGGTCCCTGCTGGCCCCTGTTGTTCCCCGTTGGTCCCCGTTGTTCCCTGCTGGCCCCTGTTGGTCCCTGTTGGTCCCTGTTGGTCCCCATTGTTCCCTGCTGGTCCCTGCTGGTCCCTGTTGGTCCCTGTTGGTCCCTGCTGGTCCCTGCTGGTCCCTGTTGGTCCCCGTTGTTCCCTGTTGTTCCCTGCTGGTCCCTGTTGGTCCCTGTTGTTCCCTGCTGGTCCCTGCTGTTCCCCGTTGGTCCCCGTTGTTCCCTGTTGTTCCCTGCTGTTCCCTGCTGGTCCCTGTTGGTCCCTGCTGGTCCCTGCTGGTCCCTGTTGTTCCCTGCTGGCCCCTGCTGGTCCCTGCTGCTCCCTGCTGGTCCCTGTTGGTCCCTGTTGGTCCCTGCTGGTCCCTGCTGGTCCCTGTTGTTCCCTGCTGGTCCCTGCTGTTCCCCGTTGGTCCCCGTTGGTCCCCGTTGTTCCCTGCTGGTCCCTGCTGGTCCCTGCTGTTCCCCGTTGGTCCCTGTTGTTCCCTGCTGGCCCCTGCTGGTCCCTGTTGGTCCCTGTTGTTCCCTGCTGGTCCCTGCTGGTCCCTGCTGTTCCCTGTTGGTCCCTGTTGTTCCCTGCTGGTCCCTGTTGGTCCCTGTTGTTCCCTGTTGTTCCCTGCTGGTCCCTGTTGGTCCCCGTTGTCCCCTGCTGGCCCCTGTTGTTCCCTGCTGGTCCCTGTTGGTCCCTGTTGTTCCCTGCTGGTCCCCGTTGTTCCCTGCTGGCCCCTGTTGTTCCCTGCTGGTCCCTGCTGGTCCCCTGCTGGCCCCTGCTGGTCCCTGTTGGTCCCTGTTGGTCCCTGCTGGTCCCTGCTGGTCCCTGCTGGTCCCTGTTGGTCCCTGTTGGTCCCTGCTGGCCCCTGCTGGTCCCCGTTGGTCCCCGTTGTTGGCCCCTGCTGGCCCCTGCTGGTCCCTGTTGGTCCCTGTTGTTCCCTGCTGGTCCCCGTTGTTCCTTGCTGGTCCCCGCTGGTCCCTGCTGGTCCCCGTTGGTCCCCGTTGTTCCCTGCTGGTCCCTGTTGTTCCCTGCTAGTCCCTGTTGGTCCCTGTTGTTCCCTGTTGTTCCCTGCTGGTCCCTGTTGGTCCCTGTTGTTCCCTGTTGTTCCCTGCTGGTCCCTGCTGGTCCCTGTTGTTCCCTGCTGGTCCCTGTTGTTCCCTGTTGGTCCCTGCTGGTCCCTGTTGGTCCCTGTTGTTCCCTGCTGGTCCCTGCTGGTCCCTGCTGGTCCCCGTTGTTCCCTGCTGGTCCCTGTTGGTCCCTGTTGGTCCCTGTTGTTCCCCGTTGTTCCCTGCTGGTCCCTGCTGGTCCCCGTTGGTCCCCGTTGGTCCCTGTTGGTCCCTGCTGGTCCCTGCTGGTCCCTGTTGGTCCCCGTTGTTCCCTGTTGTTCCCTGTTGTTCCCTGCTGGTCCCTGCTGGTCCCTGCTGGTCCCCGTTGGTCCCCGTTGTTCCCTGCTGGTCCCTGCTGGTCCCCGTTGGTCCCCGCTGGTCCCTGCTGTTCCCTGCTGGTCCCTGCTGGTCCCTGCTGTTCCCTGCTGGTCCCTGCTGTTCCCTGCTGTTCCCTGCTGGTCCCTGCTGGTCCCTGCTGGTAGTGTTGCACGGTGCACTGATACTTCAAAAGTATCGTGATTCTCGGAAATTAAAAACGTCAGGATTCCTAAATGTATTAGTATCGATACTTTCAGATTTATAAGAGACGTATTTCATGTTGGTGTGCGCAACGCATGCTTCCAGTGCCTCCCTATGGACATCTGTGTTTTCTTTCTCCTCACGCACGCAGCAAAGAAGCTGCAGCTGCAGCTGCTGGTCCCTGCTGGTCCCTGCTGGTCCCTGCTGGTCCCTGTGCCTCTGTCCTTTCTATTAATAACCTGAGTTTCCTTCATCAGCAGATGAGGAGGTGGAGGCTGAGGAGCTGAACCCATTCTCCTTCAAAGAGTTTCTACGTTGGAAGAACCAGGATCCAGACCCGGACCAGGACCTAGAACAAGACCTGGACCAGGAGCAGACACACAGCAAAGTATTATTTCTGCACAGTCTGCAGCACAAGAAGAAGAAGATATAATTTATGATAACTGTGTGTCTGTCTGTCTCTCTCTCTCTGTCTCTCTGTCTGTCTGTCTCTCTCTCTCTGTCTCTCTGTCTGTCTCTGTCTCTCTCTCTGTCTCTCTCTCTCTGTCTCTCTGTCTGTCTGTCTCTCTCTCTCTGTCTCTCTCTCTGTCTCTGTCTCTCTCTCTGCTCTGTCTCTCTCTCTCTCTCTCTGTCTGTCTGTCTCTCTCTCTCTGTCTCTCTGTCTGTCTGTCTCTCTCTCTCTGTCTCTCTGTCTGTCTCTCTCTCTGTCTCTCTGTCTGTCTGTCTCTCTCTCTGTCTCTCTCTCTGTCTCTCTCTCTGTCTCTCTGTCTGTCTGTCTCTCTCTCTGTCTCTCTCTATGTCTCTCTGTCTGTCTGTCTCTCTCTCTCTCTGTCTGTCTCTCTGTCTCTGTCTCTGTCAATTCAAATTCAATTTCGAATTCAAAATTCAAAATGGGCTTTATTGGCATGAAAGTTTTTAAAAAACAATATTGCCAAAGCAAAGTATTCAAATACAATAAATCGAAGATATAAACATTATGAACATTATATTAGTTATATACAGTGTGTGTGTGTGTGTGTGTGTGTGTGTGTGTCTCAGGTTGTGGCATGTTAATACATACTGGGCAGCAAGGTGTGCCTGCTCTCCTTCTCCGGGAGTATTTTTAATTTGGAGAGGTCGTTCAGCTCTTTGAAATCTGGAACCAAAGAGCTGAACTTAAATAAATATGTTTCTAGTATTATTTAATTTTGTACATTGTAGGAGAAAGTGCATCTCTGTCTCAACCTCACCTGTCCAACAGTGACCACATTTTCTGTTTTCTTTTGGTTGCCATGATGTTTTGTGTCTTCCTGTTTGGATTGGCGGTTTGTGGTCACTGAGCCTGTACTTGGTTAGGATCTGTCTCTGCTTTCTATCTCTGACAGTAGAGAGATATTCTTCTCATTCATAATCTCTTTTAAGGGCAAGATAACATTCCAATCTACTTTGGCTTTTAGTTGTTTCTTCCCAATGGTCCAGATAGCTTTCTTTACATTGTGCTATCATTTACTCTGATTACTGTTTGTAGAGCAGTGTTGTTGTGAGGCTGGTCACAGTGTGTCTGAGAGGGGGCAGTTAGCCTCAGTACCAACTGACATAGGGGACTCTTTTCTGGGCTCAGCTCTTGGGTTTGGAGGGCTTTGGAGTGGAGGGTGTCTCTGGGGCTGGATTTCAGGTGGTTAAAAAAGTTGAGTGTTCTCTTCTGAATGTTAATTATCAGTGGGTATCTGCCTAATTCTGCTCTACATAGCATTTGTTGGTGTGTTTCTGTGTATGTGTAAAATGTATCTGCAGAACTCTGCATGTAGAGATTCTGTTGGATGTTTGTCCCAACGGGTAAAGCTCTGATGACTGAGTGGACCCCATACTTCACTGCCGTACAGCGCAATGGGCTGGATGACACTATCAAATATTTTAAGCCAGATTTTTATTGGAATATGGAAATTATAAAATGTTCTCTTAATTGCATATAGAGCTCTTTGAGCTTTTTCTTTTAGTGCATTCACTGCCATGTTGAAACTCCCTGATGCTGTTATGGTTATACCAAGGTAGGTATAACTCATGCTGTGTTCAATGACATGATTATTGATGGTAAATTGGTGTTTGTTCTCATGACACCTGGGGCGTTTTTGAAAGATCATGACATTGGTTTTCTTCATGTTTACTGCCAGGGCCCAGTTCTGACAGTACTTTTCTACTACGTCCAGCTGTAGCTGTAGTCCTTGTTCAGTAGGAGACAGTAGAACAAGGTCATCAGCATAAAACAGAGACTTCACCTCTCTATCTAGGAGGGAGAGGCCATGAGCAGCACATTTATCTAACAGCCAGTTCATTTATATACACATTAAATAAAGTCAGACTTAGATTGCAACCCTGTGGAACGCCTCTTCTCTGGGGGAAGAAATCAGTTAGTTTGTTTCCAGTTTTAACAGCACACAAGTTTTCCAAATACATTGATCTAACCAGATCATACATTTTGCCACCTATACCACAGTTTAAAAGTCTGTAATAGAGCCCTTCATGCCAAATACAGTCGAAAGCTTTCTTGAAATCAATAAAGCAGGTGAATATTTTTCCATTCTTAGTTTGTTGTACATGTTGGTTGATTAAAGTGTGAAGGGTATATACACTGTCGGTGGTGCGGTGTTTTGGGAGGAAGCCAATCTGACTTTTACTTAAGATTGACTGTTCCTCAAGGAAATCTAGTATTCTTGTATTAAGAATACTACAGAATAGTTTACCTAGACAGCTGCTGACACAGATGCCATGGTAGTTATTAGGGTCTGATTTGTCCCCACTCTTATGAATGGGGGAAATGAGCCCTTTGCACCAGATGTTGGGAAAACATCCTGCCTGTAGTATAACATTGAACAAATGTAACATTGCACCCTGCATTTCTGGGGGTGCTTTTGCTTTCTTTCTAATGCTGTCTGGACCACAAGCTTTCCTTGGCTTCAGACATTTTGTCTGTGTGGTTATTTCTTGCCAAGTAATTTCGAAATCAAGGGGTTTGGGTTGTCTTTAATTGTTTCTTCTAGTTTTTGGAGTTTTTCTTTCATAATACACTGATCTGAATTGATTTGATTGATTGGTATGTCTTTGTACGGATATTCAAAATGTGATCTCCAGATGTCACCGTTTTGGATGGGTAATGTCTGCTGTTGCTTTGTCTCTCTGTCTCTCTCTCTCTCTGTCTGTCTGTCTGTCTGTAGTCTGGTGGCTCTCACAGGTTGTTTGACATCGGGAGTGTGACCTTTGACCCTGAGGTCAGGAGCTGTTTCTTCTCTGAACCCTCTCTGGCGCCGCAGGTACAGTGACATCATCAGTGACATCATCAGTGATAAATAAAGTTATTAATGTTTCGTAACGTCTCTCGAACCTTTCGCACTGTAAAATAACTGACAATCATATTTAGAATAACGTTACTATCTGTAATGTTCCTATATTTTTCTTGGACCGTTAGCTCCATGCTACTAACTAGCTCGCCGTTTACAAATCACCCCATCTAGGGATGGGGCCGATCCGATCCAGTATCGGTATCGGGACCGATACCGGTGTATTTCACATATCGGATTTTCCCGATCCAACCTGCGCAGATTTCCGATATCCATGAGCCATGTCTGCGTTAACGTTGTCTGCTGAAATGACTCCACAGGTGATTCCTGCCGGCCAGTCTGCTGGCTGCAAACTGTGGAATGGATTTCCTGAACGGAGGCGCGGCTCAATGAGACACAGAGTTATGAGACACGCCCTCGCTCAGGAAATCCATTATTTAGCAAAGCCGTGATTCAGAGAGGAGGAAGCTCCCTCGCGTCGTACAACACTACGAACACAATCAAACATTTAAAAAAGCACCACACAAAAGAGCACGAGGATTATTGGGTCAAAATGAGAACCACCACTTAATTGTTAAAGTAGTATTACAGTTCTTATACGATACAGGGCTATATATGAACATTTGAAGCAGTAACATTATCCTTAGAGTGACTTCCTGAGGAGGGCAGTAATACGCCTAGAAGCGTCTAAACTGCCAGAAATCCATATGAAGAAGAAGAAGAGCAGGGGAAGAAAGACAAAAGGAGCTGTCAGGAATCACTTCTAGAGTCATTCCAAAAACACGTTAAACTCCAGGCAGACAACGGGAAAAAAAAAGGGATTGGTGTGTGTGTGTGTGTGTGTGTGTGTGTGTAGATGTTTCACTTTTGCACTTTTCTTATATTTCAATATTTGACATTTTGGGAATTTAATAAATATTGACATGACAATATTTGAAACCCTTACGTTGTATTTGTTTTGGTGGGTTTTCCTGTTAAAAGGTTCCTTTTTTCTGACTTCCTTTTCTGACCTTATACTTACCTCAAGTTTCCTTTTGGGACATACATGCATACATATGTACAGATCATACTTGCCTGTTGAGAGGAGTTTATTTCAGCCTCATATAAAATCAACAATAATGGTAATAATAATATTAAAGCGAACACAGCTCTGGTATCGGAATAGTATTGGTATCGGCCGATATCCAAATTCAGGTATCGGGATCGGATCAGAAGTGAAGAAGAAGAATTGAATTGAATTGAATTGAAAAACGTGGATCTGTGCATCCCTAACCCGATCAGCCAACACCATGAAGCAACCAACGCCAGACCCACACCTCGCAGCCAAGACACAGCCAGCCAGACAACCCCAGTTAGCTTAGCTACAGTTAGCTGCTGGATGCCTCTATTTCAGAAGTGTCTTGCGAAAACTTTTGTTATGAACTGCCGTTATACAAATAAAGTTAATTTGAAATTGAATATCTTATAGTATATATATTATAGCAAAATTGCAACAGGACGCGGTCCTGAATCAAACAGCTGTTTCCTCCTAATAGCGTGTTATATCTCATTCATACTCCCCTCCACTAGTTGGCAGACATCCTGTACTTAGACCTTAGCTCAGAAAAACGTCGTGTTTCAATGCAAAATGTTCGAGGAAGTCCCGTCCAAACTGTTGGGCGAGAAACCGGAAATAGTGCACCACGGCGCTATTTATGCTGAAGCAGTATTGCTGGATTTAGGAGTTATTGAGACGAAATAAACGAAAATGGCAAGCAAAAAGTTGACACTTAGGGAAGTGATGGGTCTCCTATTCACTGACTGTGTTCTGACTCTGAAGGGGAAAATCTACGTTTGGGACGTGTTGGACTCTGTGTTGTGAGACTCTGTGTTGTGGACTCTGTGTTCGACCCTTTGCCCAACATATGTGGTTGTGGACTATGAACACAAACTCTGTGTTGGACTCTGTAAGTTGGAGCTACTGGATGTTGTGGACTCTGTGTTGTGGACTCTGTGTTGGACTCTGTTGTGGACTCTGTGTTGGACTCTGTGTTGTGGACTCTGTGTTGTGGACTCTGTGTTGGACTCTGTGTTGTGGACTCTGTGTTGTGGACTCTGTGTTGTGGACTCTGTGTTGGACTCTGTGTTGTGGACTCTGTGTTGTGGACTCTGTGTTGGACTCTGTGTTGTGGACTCTGTGTTGTGGACTCTGTGTTGGACTCTGTGTTGTGGACTCTGTGTTGGACTCTGTGTTGGACTCTGTGTTGTGGACTCTGTGTTGGACTCTGTGTTGGACTCTGTGTTGGACTCTGTGTTGTGGACTCTGTGTTGTGGACTCTGTGTTGTGGACTCTGTGTTGGACACTGTGTTGTGGACTCTGTGTTGGACTCTGTGTTGTGGACTCTGTGTTGTGGACTCTGTGTTGGACACTGTGTTGTGGACTCTGTGTTGTGGACTCTGTGTTGTGGACTCTGTGTTGGACTCTGTGTTGTGGACTCTGTGTTGGACTCTGTGTTGTGGACTCTGTGTTGGACTCTGTGTTGTGGACACTGTGTTGTGGACTCTGTGTTGTGGACTCTGTGTTGGACACTGTGTTGTGGACTCTGTGTTGGACTCTGTGTTGTGGACTCTGTGTTGGACTTTGTGTTGTGGACTCTGTGTTGGACTCTGTGTTGCCCACTGTTGGCACTCGGGAGCATAAAGGTCACAACCTTTGACCCTCATCCCTACATAGAGACACATAGAGATCAGTCCACAGACAGCAGAGGAACAAAGCTACACTACAACCTGTTCACTCTGCTGATCAATAATCTGATCAATAATCTGATCAATTATCTGATTATTATAGAAACAGTATTCATAATCTGATATCTGGAAGCTTTCACACTCGGTTCAGACACACACACCACCTCCTGTCTGTCGTCCAATCAGGAGGAGGAAGAGTGGGGGCGGAGCTTCCAGTCAGGTGTAGATAGCACCTCCTCCCTCTGCACAGAGGAGGATGAAGAAGAGGAGGAGACCAGGTGAGTCATGTCTGCTGCTCTCTGATTGGTTAGTGTTTGTTTTGTGGAGCTTAATGTTTCCTCTAGCGCCTCCATCAGGACAGACTGATCAATAATGATAATGTTTGCAGATGACACAGTTCTCTCACAATAACACTAATGTTGATTTTATTTCCTACATTAAATTAATTACCTTTAAAAACTAAAAAATCATCTTTTAAGGATCTAAAATTAAAATTAAAGTCGGTTTTTGTTCATTATGAGAGTTTGAACAAACTGACTGTGTTAGAATATAAATACATAAATCTAATAGTATAATAATTAGTCTCCTAACTCTTTATTAAACTTTCAATATATTTTTCATGTTGTAATATAGTTGATATATATATATATATATATATATATATTGAGAGAGAGAGAGAGAGAGTATATATATAGAGAGAGAGTATATATATATATATATATATATAGAGAGAGAGAGAGACAGTATATATATAGAGAGAGAATATATATATATATATATAGAGAGAGAGAGAGAGAGACAGTATATATATAGAGAGAGAGAATATATATATATATAGAGAGAGAGAGTATATATATATATAGAGAGAGAGAGAGTATATATATATAGAGAGAGAATATATATATATATAGAAAGAGAGAGAGGATATATAAATATATATATAGAGAGAGAGAGACAGAGAGAGAGAGAGTATATATATATAGAGAGAGTATATATATATATAGAGAGAGAGAGAGAATATATATATATATATATAGAGAGAGTATATATATATAGAGAGAGTATATATATATAAGAGAGAGTATATATATAGAGAGAGAGACAGAGAGAGAGAGTATATATATATATATAGAGAGAGAGGTATATATATATATATATATAGAGAGAGAGAGAGAGAGAGAGAGAGTATATATATAGAGAGAGAGAGAATATATATATATATAGATATATATATATATATATATAGAGAGAGAGAGAGGATATATAAATATATATAGAGAGAGAGAGAGACAGAGAGAGAGAATATATATATATATAGAGAGAGAGAGTATATATATATATATAGAGAGAGAGGATATATAAATATATATATAGAGAGAGACAGAGAGAGAGAGTATATATATATAGAGAGAGTATATATATATATAGAGAGAGAATATATATAGAGAGAGAATATATATATATATATAAATAGAGAGAGAGAGAGTATATATATATAGAGAGAGAGAATATATATATATAGACAGAGAGAGAATATATATATATTAATCTCTATATATATATATATATAGAGAGAGAGTAAATATATATATAAATAGAGAGAGAGAGAGTATATATATATATATATAGAGAGAGAGAGAGAGTAAATATATATATATAGAGATAGAGAGTAAATATATATATATATATATATATATATAGAGAGAGAGAGTATATATATAGAGAGAGAGAGTAGAGAGAGAGATATATATATAGAGAGAGATAGAGAGAGAGAATATATATATATATATATATAGAGAGAGAGAGTATATATATAGAGATAGAGAGTAAATATATATATATATATACAGAGAGAGAGAGAGAGAGAGTATATATAGAGAGAGAGAGGGAGGGAGAGAGAGAGTGTGTGTATATATATATATATATAGGGTATATTCCTCCTGCTCTCATACAGCCATGTAAAGTATTCCAGAGCTGTTCAAGAGTTACTTTCAAGCAATCGTTAGATCCTCATCCAAGAGAAACACCTTCACTGAGGAGAACCCTGACCAGGTCTAAACTCAATGGAACAGGTTCTCCTCCAAACCTGAAGTCCAACTGAGTGGAGCAGGAGGAGCAGGAGGAGCAGGAGGAGGAGAGAACTATGAAGGAGATGATGAGACATCTATTGCTGAGCCAGCCACCTCCTGCAGGAGGAGGAGTGGGAGGAGCAGCCAGATACAACAGGTAACACAGTGTTTCTGTGGACTTGTATTACTCATTTGTGGGGACATCAGTCTGCTTACAGACTCACATTGTGGGGACATCAGTCTGCTTACACACTCAAATTGTGGGGACATCAGTCTGCTTACAGACTCACATTGTGGGGACATCAGTCTGCTTACACACTCAAATTGTGGGGACATCAGTCTGCTTACACACTCAAATTGTGGGGACATCAGTCTGTTTACACACTCAAATTGTGGGGACATCAGTCTGCTTACACACTCACATTGTGGGGACCCGACAACCTTTTGGGGACATCAATCCCCTTAACGTAAATCTTCTGTTTGATTGTGTCTCAGTTGAAGGAGGAGAACATGTCATTGAGGAGAACCATCAGGGAGCTGCAGAGGAGATCAGAAGCTAACGAATGCAGGTGAGAACCAGCCAATCACATGACAGCACCGACACCACCGATCACAAGATTTACCCCTCGTGCCCCTGTGCTCCCTGTCAGGGTGTCGGAGCTGTCGGAGGAGCTGCTCCAGAGGAGGCGTCAGGAGGAGAAGGAGGCTCAGGATCTGGAGAGCATGGTTCACTCTGTGGAGCAGAACCTCCACCTGATGACGGTACGGTGCAGTCTAATGCTAATGCTAATGCTAACATCCATCTGTACTAACTTAATATTGAGCACCAACATCTTCAGCCAACTGCAGGCAACCAGACTCCATTCACAAAACCAGTGATTTTACTGAAACACAAAGAAACCAATAAAATAAATACTAACGAAGCTGAGAACTGGATCCAGTTTGTTAAAGAAAAACAGTTAATAATAATCAGACATCAACTTTTATTTAGATTTTGGACATTTAGAGATTGACCTTTAAAAAACCTGTCTCTCTCTCCCTGTCTGTCTCTCTCTCTGTCTGTCTGACTGTTAGAAGCGAGCAGTAAAAGCAGAAAACAGCGTTTCCAAACTGAAAGTTGAGCTGCAGCAGCTGCAGGTGAGTCAGTGTCTGTCTGTGTGTCTGTCTGTGTGTCTGTCTGTGTGTGTGTCTGTCTGTCTGTGTGTCTGTCTGTCCTCCTGATGATAACAGGGGTGTGTGTTTTAGGTGGAGGTCGACACTCTGCGGTCAGAGAACGACGGTCTGAAGGCAGCGGAGTCTAAGGTCATCATGGCGATGAGACACAACGCTCAGGTGGCGTCTGAGTATCTGAACAAGACAGCGAGCCACGCCCACTCCTCCATCCGGTCAGTACCTGTGTGAACAGGTGAATGATGACAAACTCTTTTTTTTTTTTTTTTTTTTAGCCTCTGAACTATTGTTTGTCTATCTGTCTGTCTGTCTGTCTGTCTGCCTGTCTGCCTGTCTGTCTGTCTATCAGTCAGCTGTTGGGGGAAGCAGAGACTCTCCGTTTGGTCTCTCAGCTGCTGCGGTCCATCGATAAGATCTCCACCCTGGACTCAGAGTCCTGAACTCCTCCAGACCACCGGATGTCTCTGGGACAGGAAGACACAGTCGTCATGGAAACTGCCCTAAAAGGACAAACTTTCACATTTTATTGTGAAGCTTTGATGACGTCTGGCTCCTGCTTGGTTGGTTGACACCAGACACATCAGACTGATCAATGAGTTTGTTTGGAGGAAAATATTCTGAATCATTAATGAATCGTTAGATTTTTATTATTAACGATAATTTTGGTTTTATAATAAACTTCAGACTTTGTTCAATCAGCAGTTTGTTTGTTTAAGTTCATTTTAAAGTTTAAGCTGTTTGTTTATTAGTGTCCTGATACGATCAATGCATTTCAATCTGAAACTATCTGATGAAGTTCTTAACATTTGTTTGTAATATAAACATTTATTTTATTTAATATGTTAAAATAGTTCTATAAAAATGACAGTTTACCTTCAAATATATTTATTATTAAAACACCAGCAGCAAGTATTTGTTTCTTTATAGGATGAAACTGAAGACAAATGTCTGATTTCAGAGTTCAGAGTCATTGACAGAGAGAGAGACAGACAGAGAGAGAGACAGGGAGACAGACAGACAGAGAGAGAGACAGACAGACAGAGAGAGACACAGACAGAGAGAGAGAGAGAGACAGACAGACAGACAGGCAGACAGAGAAAGAGATACAGACAGAGACAGACAGACAGAGAGAGAGACAGGCAGACAGGGAGAGACACAGACAGAGAGAGAGAGAGAGAGAGACAGACAGACAGACAGGCAGACAGAGAAAGAGATACAGACAGAGACAGACAGACAGAGAGAGAGACAGACAGACAGACAGACAGACAGACAGACCGGAGGAAAATATTCCACAGATCTAATCAAATCAATTTCAAATCAACTTATTACATTTCAAAATCTATATTCAATCTCATATTCTATATTCAATCCCATATTTCTGAAGTAGTGATTTCTTTTACACGATTCATCAATTTCCCCGCATCAAATCAAACCTGCACCGACAAGGACATACGGTTATATATGTTTATTAACTAAACTAATGCAGAGTAAATAGTATGAAATGATAAACAAACAAATGACAACAAGTAACAGAATATGTGGACAATATATGAATTATTACTATTAGGTGATTCAGGAGCGATGGTGGACTTTGCGATGCGGCAGTAAGTTTAAAATATTACGAGAGTAAATTTTAGAACTGAGAGGCCCTAATCCAAAATTCTCTTAAACTAAAAGATGGGAATCAAAGCTTACAGACAGACACCAGCTCTTTTTCATGTGTGTGAATCCGGCCGTGTACCGGAGAGTCAGCCTACTTTGTTTGTAGATGGATCTTGGAAGGATTCCAGGTCCTTGGCTTTCAGCTCAACTGCGGCTTTGCGTCACTGATCCAACAGGCCGAAGGAAGTTGCGTCTCGTCCCTGGTACCAGTGGCTCTTCAATTCAAAGGCCCAGCGCGTAGTTTTATGCTTGAGTGCGTTGGAGGCAGAGAGTCGCTGGATAATAATGTCTTTGGTCTTTGTTTTGAGCAGTCAACTACTGCGATGTCCTTCTGGCTGATGATAAATGTCTTAGAGTGGTTGGTCTTCAGCTTTGATTGTAAACTAATTCAGCTTCTTGTTTGAAAATAACTGGAGGACGAAACGCTGGCCTGGTGAATCCTCCGTAGTCACTTAGTCCAAGAATTAAACTAAATTCACTTTCTGTGAATCAGGTGACAATACTTGACGATATATATATATAAGACTACAAAAATATAAAAGAAGAAATTCGTTTGTCTTGAGCTTTCAAAACAAAAGTACTTAGGAAAGTACTTCAGCACCGCAAC